ATGGCATGGCATGGCATGACATGACAGTACATCCATTATTACGTTACATTAATGCATACAACACATACCTTTACACATGCATGGATGAGTTCATGCATATACATACATACGTGCATCCATCCATCCATGCATCCATCCCTCCTTCTACCCATGCATGCATGCTCACATTGCACTAAATTGAATTATAGATGGTTGCTTTACTCTGCATTACATTGCGCTCAAATACACGACACGCATTATGTTCATTTTCATGGCATGCCATCATATTGCACTATATTTCATTTACAGTGTCACGCCACGTTACATTACGTTCCATGACATTACACAAAACGGTTGTGCGGGCGTATGTATGTCTGTATGTATGCGTACGCATATCATCTGTTGAATGGCTGACGATCAACATCGATGTCGCAATCATTCATGTGATGGTCACCCATCAAGGTGGTCAGCTTTTTCTACACACTGTAGCCGTCGCTAGCACACGCAGACACCCACACAACACACATATGTATATGCATATATGTATGTGTGTTTGTGTGTGTGTATCTATGCATTTATACGTAGCAGTAGTGCAAGCAATGGTAGTAGTCGTCGTAGTAGTAGTGGTAGTAGTAGTAGTAGTAGTAGTAGTAGTAGTGGTAGTAGTAGTAGTAGTGGTAGTAGTAGTAGTAGTAGTAGTAGTACGAGTAGTAGTAGTAGTACGAGTAGTAGTAGTAGTAGTAGTAGTAGTAGTGGTGGTAGTAGTAGTAGTAACAGTAATAGTAGAAGTAATAGTAATAGTAATAGTAATAGTAATAGCAATAGCAATAGTAATAGTAATAGTAATAGTAATAGTAATAGTAAGAGTAGTAGTGGTAGTGGTAGTGGTGGTAGTGGTAGTAGTGGTAGCAGTAGTAGTAGTAGTAGTAGTAGTAGTAGTAGTAGTAGTAGTAGTAGTACGACTAGTAGTCGTAGTAGTAGTAGTAGTAGAAGAAGTAGTAGCTGTTGTTGTAGCAGCAGCAGCAACAGTAGTCAGTAATCGCCGTCGCAGTAGCAGCAGTAGCACAGCAGCAGCAGTAGTATTAATAATACTAGCAGCAGTAGTAGTAGTAGTAGTAGTAGCAGCAGCAGTATCAGTAGCAGTCGCAGTAGTAGTAGCAGTAGTAGTAGTTTTTGCCTCCTACATGGCTGAGCGAGTCGCGAAGCAGGGTTACAGTAGTAGTAGTAGTCGTCCTCGTCGTCGTCGTAGTAGTAGTAGTAGTAGTAGTAGTACAGTACTGTAGTAGAAGTGGTAGTCTTAGTAGTAGTCGGTAGTAGTAATTCGAGTGGTAGTAATAGAGTATACAAGTTCCTTCGCCGATGCATATCACCCACCAGTAAACGATCGCTTCCGGTCCGCGACTCACAAAACATGCGTGGCCTATGGACTTTCACCGCAAGCTTTGAACACTTGTTGTCGTCTCAAAAACCCTTGTTTAAACCTACATCGCAGACCCTAAGCCCGACAAGCCCTTAACGCGCTCAGACAGGAGGCAGCTCATGACCCGGCGTGAAGGGCAGGCCATGCCTGGGTTTCTTGTCAAAAGCGGCGACAGATAATGCTATATAAAACAGTAAAACACTATAGTACATAACACGAAATAAATTATACAATATATAACAGAACACGGCAGTATATGATGCGGTTTAGTAGGATTCAGAGATTGGGTGCCTTGCCTCCCGCCGGCTAGGACGCTTTAGGGTTAAATAGGTTATGGGGAATTTTGGCGAATCATTTTCACAGCCGGCTGTTGGTGATACTTCGAGCTCTGAACCAAGCCTCAACAATGCAAGATTCGAAGACATTATGAGCTCGGATCGACGTTCTAAATCTTTCACATGAAAACTTGCGGGACTCTGCCCCAAACACTTGGACAAGCAATCCAGAGAATTATAGATGACCCTCCCGATCCTGACCTCCGCCCCTAAACTTCCTAAACCTTCAAGCCCAAAGCATCAGCTCACGCGTGAAGCTGAGATGTCGGGAACTCGAACTCTGTGTCCACCTAAAACGGGCTGACACAGGCTGCGCGACTGGACGATGTCGCTGTCCAAACCCTTCCAGCCGTGGTAATCGGAGCGGCAAACGCCGCAGGCCTGGAGATGTTGTCGGGGGGGTTGCGATCGTGTGGCCACAACGCTACTGTCATGAGTTGATTGGCTCTTCTTTGCTCAGATTGGAGACATGTTAGCAGATCCGCGTGAGCCTTGACTCTGAGAAGCAGTCCTCCCGCTGGTGCATAAGGCTTTGGCACCTTGTCGGACAAAATTCACGGTGGTCGCTACCTGACTTATTAGACCCCTCAGAACTTCCGATACCTGCAGGCAGCCTGGATGTTTTGACGTCTATGTATGCAAAATCTTGCACAGGCTTTCGGAGTCTGCGCTTTAGACTTTGGATTTGAATGCTTCGCGACGGAACATGGCCTCCTGGATGTTGATCGGCCCAGAGAACGCGCCGTAGACCGCAGCTCTCATCATTGTGGCCATGGCAGCAGCAGGTCTGCGAGAGCTGTCTCAGAAACTCGCCAATCTAAGGCTGCAAGTCGCCGAGCATTACGTAAGTTCAGATAGTCGTAAACCTCCGCGATGACGGTCACCAGTCCCAACTAGTATTTACGTGCTTCCTGTTCTGCCCATGTGCTTGTCTGTGTGTGTGTGTGTATCTGTACATATTGTTTATATACATATGTATATATATATATATACACGGATATAGATATAGATATAGATCTAGTTATATACTAATGTATCTGTACATTAATGCATACATATACATGTGTATATATATATATATGCATGTGTCAACACACATACATGCCTTCATACATGCATACATGCAAACATACGTACATACATACATACATACAGGCACATTCTCTCTCTCACCTACATGTACATATATATATATATACATACACAGTTGCTCCGACAGAATACTCAGGCACACACACACACAGGCATACCTTCATTCGCTCATACATCTTACATGCCCAGACACACATCTACACATACATGCATAAGTCATACATACATACATGCTCTCTCACCAGTGCTCAAGCCTAGGCAGTCCTAGATTAGATTTTACATCGAGCTGGATCAGCTGCGAGGCGGCGAGACAACACCAAAATTCCCGCACACCTGATAACCAAGATGATTTGCAGAATCCCTGTCGTCAATTAGCTGCTGGGCTTAGATTGGCTGCCGAGGGGTCGCCATAAACAACATGTCCTCAGCCCTTTTCGGCCACCAACCTGTGTTAAAGAAAACCGACCCTGATGTTTGTGCCTGATGGTGACGGTGATTCATGTCATTGCAATTGTAGCTTCGTTGCTATCCTTGCGGTTTCAGCGCCGAGCTCGGCACGCCCTCCGAAGCGCCGCAGCCGCCCTGCGGCGGCCTCCAGGGCTAAGGGATCGCGGTCGACGCCGAGAAGCTGTGCCTCGTCGTAACAGTTGTAGGGTTTAGGGTTGCCTGAACCCTAAACCCAACACAAATCTGTCTACGCCTAGCTGACCTTGACACAGCATAATGCTCTTCTGGAGATTGCCACTATGCTGCGCATGCAAATGCAAAAATCAATGCAATTCTTGAGTCTTGTGTTCGTCTGCATGTTCCTTTTCCGTGTCTCTGCCTCTTGGCCTTGCTTGTAGCTATCTGGGCGATCGGTGGTCTTGGTGTCCTGCTCTCTTCCATGTATGCAGCTGGGTGTGTAACCATGCATTAGACATCCATTCGCCCATCTCTCGTGCTTTCTACTTCTGCTTCCCCAGTTACATGTGAGTACACATGAGCCCATCAGCAGCTCTCGAGTTCCAGCGTGCCTGTGGTATGGCGTCGAGCAAGGCCTGACATGCGGGAGCATTCAGCATTCAGGCGAATTATATAGAAGTGTGAGAGTAAAATATAGTAGGCTTATAGAAATTAATATACATATTTTGGCTCCCACTATATATATATATATGTGTGTTTGGCTCCCGCTTGGCATCATCATCTCTGTCTCTGCATACATATATATATATATATATATATATATATTGTAACATGCTTCATGTCACGATGCCACGTGCGCCCTCGCGACTCGCGCAAGCCCTGCAGTATGAGGTCGCTTCATTCGCAAGCGGATGTGTGGAAGCCGAGCTCTCCGGCGAGACAAAAACAGCTTGCAAGACCCCACATACCATCCCGAAGAGCTGACAAGACTGCGTCTCAAAGTAGGGCGACAACTGGACATATTTTGCGCACCACATGGCGTCACCAGCGCGCGCCTAGCCGTCAATAGAACCCGTAAGGTATGTTTGTAGGAGGTAGTTGTTTTGCCATTTTTCAGCTAACTCAGTTAGCCCCCTGATCAGGAAAGCAACAGCCTTCGCCACGTACATACATCCCTCTGCAAACCTGTGCCTCTGCATCGCGTTGCTGTGTCGCTCCGCTAGAGTGTAGTCCGTTCAAGATCGTGCCAAGCTACAGCTGCTTGAGCATTGACAGCATGGGCTACATGCCCGGCAGTGCGACTGTGTTCAACCGCTAGATACTGGCGGGTCCGGACGTCCACAGTGCACGAGATGCATTTCGCGACTTTAGGTACTGGAAGGCACAATCCCAGCTGTCGGGATGGGACCTGGCAGTAAAGGATGTGCTGACAGGGAAAAATATCGGCTGACAAGAGCAGCTGCGCATGTCTGTGACAAGCTGACGCTCGTTTCTTGAACCTGAGTCGAACCTGCAAACCGAGCCGAGCCGTCAGCCAACGAGTCGGAAAAGCTTTGCTAACGGTGAATCGAACAGCTGCTGAGCCAGTCTGACCTTGGACTCAGCCTCTTCCCAGGCTTCACTTTGTCTCTCGAGCCGTTCCTGCTGTTGTGGCCTTTCGTCTCGCAGGGCCTCGCGCTTTTTCTCAGCGATTGGAGCCTCAATCGTCTGCGCTGTCAGTTGATACCTCCGCTGTGTTGCCATACAACCTCTTTCAAACATGGATGGCATGAGACGCATGTTCCGGAGAAAGCAGCTACTTTCTGCTTTCTCCGGAAGACGCGTCCCGAGTCTTTCTCTTGAGACACATCTTCGCATCTTGCCAACGTATGCCGCCGCAACCCTGCAATTTACTCCCCCGTACCGCTCCGCACCGCCCCGTAGACGTACAGTAGTGAAGTAGTGCCGTATACCGCCCGCCCCGTTCCGTGCCTAGGTATAGACCTCACATTCGTGCTAGTAGTTCGTACAGGGCTTGTCCACAGATCAGAAGCATCAGCGATAGACCCCCATAAAATAATAGCTTATATCCCCCAAAAAGAAGCGCAGCCCATCCCACATGCACAGCAGCGATGCACCCAGCCTGGCTATGGCCGGCCCCTCCCAGAGTGCCTCAAATAACTTGGGGCAGGATCTCAAAATCATCCATACGTAGTCTGGACTCCCACATGGCCTGCCTGAGCCGCACCGCAGGTCTTAAGGCAGTACAGCAGGGCCCTGCAGTACACTGCAGTATTCACACGACCTACACCATTAAAAACATAATGATATTCCCTTTTTGTGCCTATTACAAGTATAGTACAAATATACCCCAAGGCCCTCTTCTTCTTATTCTTGTTAGTATGACTTTTATTATTATGACCATTAGTTGAACTAAACGAAAATGATAGCATTATTAAATCATTATAAGGGCCCTATATCATAGCAAGAGATCTGAACCCCTAGACGAGCTGCAGTCGACCAAGACTGGTGATTCCGGCAGTCGGAGTGACGTGAAGGCTTCGACCACCTGTGCGAGATTTGAAGTTAAGAGTACTTTATAACTGAACAAACGGATAAATAACAACATATCTGCGCACATATATAAATATATGTTTTTTTGCAGGCCCATGTCCAGAGTAGTTTAAGGGTTCTGGGTTTTGGGGCTCCGTCATGTTTGCGCCCCACTCTTGGGACTTATGCGAGTATAAAACTTCTCATGCGTCCGGCATGCTGGATGGCACACATGGGACCTCGTCGAGAAGAACCGACGTGTGGTCAAAGTCGTCATCAGCCTGACCAGTGAGCAAAGCTTGCGTGATCATACTTCGATGCACCATCATGCCATCATGTGCTGCCCTTGTGCCTCCTGAATCCACACTGCTTGGCAAGTTGAATCGAACAGTCCAAAGTTTTCACCAACTCCCGACAAACAGTTGCACATCATGTGTTGTAGCACCCGAGATCCCTTCAACAGCCCAATGCAAGCTTTGCAGTGGGAGGGACCTCAACAGCGGCCACCGGGAATCGTGGAGGGGCAGGCCGTGGCTCACCCTTCCAGGGTGAGAAACGAGTCTTGACAGCGGCACCAAGGACAACCTAACCTGTCAACCTGCACAACTCTATCCTCAGGAGCTCCAGCATAAGCTTGGGCGATCCGCACAGCAGCTGATGTCTTGCGCGAGCGCTCACCTGGTTTCCGGACCGGTTCTGGCAGTTCACATCGCTGACTGGGACTATGCCCAAGGCAGAGTCTGACGCAACACTTGGAGCCGAAGCACATCTGTCATCCCCTTATGTTGTGTAGGGGGCCGCAACAATCAAGGTCATCAGGGTCTCGCTGTGGTCGCGAACAGGCTCTGTGTTCTTTCCATTACTCCGATCGCGTGCATGGTGTCGCTCGTTTGGCTATCTCCAGCTTTCTCTTCCGCTCCTTACTGGCCTGCAGAAACAGTCGTAGCCCCTCGCCAGACTAGTCTGTCACTCTACAGCCCGAGTAGGGCCTCTACTTGGTAGCAACATGTGCATGACCTAACTGTTCAACATATGATGTCTGCTTGTCGGGCCATTGCTTCCTTGCGAAAGTCGTGGAGTTGGAGGTTCCTGGCGCAGTAGCGAGCGCCTGCCTGCCTCCCCAATTCTCATTCTCTCGCTGTCACACTCCTCTCAATGTAAATCATAGGCCGTTCATGCTCAATTACGCTCGTATTTTATGCCCTGCACGGGCTTGCTGCGGGATCACTTTCGAACTCGGAGAATCAAAGGGACATGAAAGTGCAATCCGAGGCACAGCACGCAACCACCACTCCGAGAGCGGGGAGGTCAACAGGGAATCCGTGGTCACTGCGTGCCTGCCAGGGCTTCCAGGATGGCGATGCGCATCACAGTCAAACAGGCCAGCATGCACGCAAACAAGCCTACATGCTGGATTCGACTCTGCGATTCGTGGATATGAATATCTTGCTCCGTAAGCATGTCTATCTTTCATGTGCTTATACATTTTTGTTGCATGTTGTTGCTTAGTTTCAAACCGACCCAGCACGGCCCAATAGTACCCAAACATCGATTCCGAAGCTCTGCCGCCTGTAGCACTGCCAGAGCCAGCGGCCAGGGTCCTTGGCCCTGCAACGATATGAGGCGTCTCATGCTGTTGCCGCGAGGTCGAGGCTGCAACTTTCCACGTTGCTCTATGCTTGGTGGATACATGTCAGCAGTACTTGGATGTAGAATGCAGCTAGTTTTCGCATGCCGTTCGTGCACGGCTATACTGTGCGCAGGTTCTACCATGCAATCTCGTGATAGAGAGCTGGCAGAAATCTGTGTCGGCATTCGCCACAGAAGGCGTCATGAGAGCAAGCAATTCAACACATTTAGTTAGCGCCACCGTTACTGAAAAGAGAGACCAACTACGTCTACTGGCGGCGGCAGCAGCAACTTCAACTACCAGTGCTACTACTACTGCTACTGCTACTGCTACTGCTGCTGCTGCTGCTGCTACGGCTACTACTACTACTACTACTACTACTACTGCTACTGCTACTGCTACTGCTACGGCTACTGCTACTGCAACTGCAACT